AAGGATATGTACATGTACAGCCAAGCACAATCAATAAGAGTGCATCTGAATTCCAAAATAAAAAAAAAACCAAAAAAACCCACTATCTCTTTTCATCCTCACACACTTCTATATATCTGAACTAATTCTATTCCCAGTGATTCTTACTTTAGGAATATTCATGAACATTCTACAGTCAAAAATAAAATTTACTGGAATTAGAAAACAAAACCACCACAGCGTGCCCTAAATTCAAGGAGGATAAGGAATCAGTATTTAAACCCTTCTCCAGATTTTCTTTTAGCTTGTGGTCATTTTCTCACCCAGTTTCTGTGTAGCATATGACCATTCATCCTTTTGTCCTTCCAGATAAAACTTTCTGAGAAACAGCTGGTAAAATAATATGCACTTAGCTCTGGTAGCCTCATAGTAAGAGGCTGCACTGCAATCACAAAGGCATGGGGTTCGAATCCACCAGCTGCTCCAGGGAAGGATTGGCAATTTTCTCCCATGATAATTACTGTCTTTGAAAACCTGCTGGATGGTTAGTCATGGTCAGTTCTGACTCTATGGCACATACAACAACAACAGAGGGGGAAGAGGGATAAAGGAAATGTGATAAAAATGTTAACATTTAGGAAAAATGGTGGATGGTACAGCAGAATTCTTTGAACTATGCCTATATCTTTTCTATAATTCTGGAGTTATGCCATTTAAAAAAAAAAAAAAGGTGCCTAATAACTGCCTTAAGGATTTTTCTATAGCCTATGTTCAGTGTGAATATCCAAAGAACTACATCCTTGCCTCCAGATTTATACATATCTAAGGTGCAATCTAACATGCTTATTTGGATCACAAAATTAAACATAATCTCTGAGAGGAAAGAGCCATTAAAATGCTATTTTCCCATCCATTTCGCTAGGGTTCTTGTCTAAGAGACAAACTGCTTTAGGGCATTTTAGAATTCCAGTTACTTCAAAATTGTTTTTAAATGATTTGGGATTAGATACCATCTAACTGCTTTTCAAAGGGATTTGTCCGCTGTGCACTTGGCATAATGGATTTGACTTCTTTTCTCCAGGATGCAATTCACAGCATAAATCAATACGGCTGTCTGCTTCACAAGCTTGTCCCTCCAGTCCAGTGCCCCTCCCCTCCACCGCTCTCCTCAAGTCATCCTTCAGCACACTCTATTCAAAGCAAAGGTAAATTTTGGACTTCTCTAGACTAGAGCGGGGTATCTGTAAATGATGCTTTCAAGGTTTTCATAAGGGACTCACTAGAACAGGCTGTCTTACAGCCAGGCACAATGACATACAAATTCTGCTGGAGATTAGCATACTGCCCACACCCACCAATTTTTTGGAAAGCATTTTAGCTTTTACTAACAAGGAGTGAGACTCTCTGAGCAGCAAAACTGACAGAAACTACTAGCAGGTGAAGACATTAACCAGATGGCCAAAACCCCTGGAAAAGTGACTTAACCTCTAAGGCTCAAGGCCATCCTTTTCTGTTAATAATGGTCAGAATCAGAGTACCTATCACCCACAAAGGGGCGGTGTGGAATTCATCAATTGAATCAGATGATGAGAGGCATCTAAATGCTCAACCTTATTCTGACGATCCCATGATTCCTAAGTCTTCAGGATTCCGTCTTTCTTGACCTAATAACTCCCATAAACATGAGAGTCCAGTCTCTTAATTTTTAAATTAGATATTTATGTCTGAGGACATGGTTGTCTTCACTGTGGGCAAGAGATTTGGACTCGAGCATCTTAAAAACCCGTTACTCCAGCAACTGAAATACTGTTCTCCTAGATGTAAAATGAGAAAATTAAAGGCCACCTCCATCAGACCCCTGTCGTACATAAAAAGCAGAGCCAGCATGTGGACCATGCAGTGACTGTGCTGGCCAGATGTGAAGAGTAAGATAAGACCAATGGCAACCAGTCTCATGACCGTCAACATCACATCCCAATGAAACGTCCTAATCTCACTGTCTGTCACCAGCATCAGAAGAAAAAGTGGATTTGTTAACACCTCCTTCCTAAAAAAAAAAAAAAAAAAAAAAATCACTCCCCCAGACAATCACCATTATAACAATTTTACCAAAACCTCTTTCTACACAAGGAACATGACCTGGTGGCTAACTATGTATGCTTCATCTAGGGTTCATCTCTTCTGATCAAACTGCAAAGCACTGCAAGGGGAGGTGGGGACATTGTGATACAAAGACCTTCCTATTTTTGCTGGGAGGGTGGGAGAGCACGCACAGAGAAACAGACTAGAAGTCCCACAGGATGCTGGTAGTTGGAGTCAATTATGCATGAGGAGCCAAAGGAATTTGGAAGAAATGTGCAAGGGAGTAAAATTTGAGCTAATTCACACATAATGGATGAGAACAGGTGTCAAGTATTAAAAATCAAAGTAGGAAGAAGAGCAGGCCAAGAAATCAAATCAAGGTATAACTACAAGTAAAAGCAAGCATTAGCCTAATCAATAGCATTATCATATCAAACAAGCGGCAGCAGGACCGCCTGAGGGCAGCTGGGAGACAGCCCCACCTACACCAGGAGGGAAAGCAAAGAGAGGCTCACTGATACTGAGAGTCAAAATCTGAACTTCATAGTCTCACTCAAAAGAAAATCCTTTAAAAAAGGAGACTGAAGGTAGACTAAGCTTCTTGGGGAACACTTAGCATAATGGATCAAAATCTTAGCACAGCAGGAGAAAACAAACTGCGTTAGACATTAAGGGTGAAAAGGGAAGCAGGGTGAAATGCGGCATCACTCTGAGTAATTTAATGATGTTTCCACCAACTGCTCTGCAGGAGAAAGATGGGCACCTCCAGAGCGGACGACTGCCTCTCAGAACCCACTGGAGGGTCGGTCAGGAGTCCGTTCCCGTGTGACGGTATATAACAACCGAAGCCAAGAGAATCCATTTGCCCAAGCTGTTCCTGACTCACAGCAACCCTTCACACAATGCCCATCAGGGGCCATCCGGACCATTTCTGAAACGCTTGGGCCGACTGTTGTGGTCACTTATCTCTTTGAGGGTCTGTCTCTCTTACACTGACCTCCACCTTTCTAAGCATGGTGTGCCTCTCCAAGGACTGCTCCCTTCTAACCACCTGTCCAACGTCTGTGAGATGGGCGTTTCACCGTCCTTACCTTCCAAGGGTGATTTGCAAATGGGCGAAAGAAAAAAAAAATTTCTTGTGTTACCAGTCTCTACAATGAATAAAATACTCTAAAATCAGTCATATAAATGCAATTTATTATTCTACATTTCATGTTCTAACTGTAGACAAAAATATAGAGAACGAAATATGCTACACAACGGAATGCAAAAAAGTACCACAACAACAGAAACGCAAAGATGGGGTAGGAGAGGGCTGAGAAGGAGCAAGGGAACGGCTAGAGGCTCCAATGCACTATCTTCACGCGGTGATAGAACTGATG